AGTTTGCTTTGAAGTTTTTTTTTTTTTTTTTTTTTTTTTTTTTTCCAGAGAGTGGGAATGTTGGCCATGTCTTTGTAGGCTTATATCTTCTTCCAGAGCTTCTCACATTCTGGTACATGGACCACTAGTGGTCTGCATTATATTTGCTTGTGGTCAGGTGAGAGCTTGTTAATTGGAAAATGCTAACTTCCCCCAAGTGCTAAATCAATATTGCATATTTATATTATTTTTTCACTGAGCAACTCTATTGTGTGAATTAAAAATAAAGTGGTCCATATGGATGTCTTCTGTTGAATAAAGTCTGGATCAAGAGCCCTCTGTATTGCTTTTTGCAAAGCATGCCATGTGGTTAGAGCTGGTCATAAATTCTTGAATGAAAAGCACGGCAGTGAAAAATTGGCCATTTTTAAAAAACAACTTTTGCAAAGTTTTGATATTTCAAAAAAATGCTCACTTTTTTAGCAAAACATGAAAAGTTTTTAGTTTTCCTGTCCCTCTCCCAAGAGTGGGTTTCAGCAGCAAAATGTGGAAGAGTAAGAAGGAAAAAGAAAAATCATATTTTCAAAACTGAAACATTTCAGTCAAAAATAGGGGAAATGTTCTAACCTAGCTTTCTTGGAAACTACTTCAAATTTTTGTGACTGGTTTTGACCTGTGGGTTGTGGGATTTGTTTGTTTTCCCAGCTGTGCCTGGAATCCTCAATTCCCTTTAAAAAACCCCCCAAAAGAAATGGACAGAAGAGGAACATGAGTTTAATGTCTTCTGAAATAGAGCCCCTGTTTCAGTGTTGGGTTCTAATGCTACTCTGGGCTGAGCATGGAAATCAGCCTTTTATCTTCCAGGGCAGCTACCCACAAAGAAGGAATTGGATGTTACTAGGTTATCCAGCACAGTGGTGTTCTACGATCTTTAGCAGTAACATGCTGTGGCACTTTGAGGGGTACCCAGGGTTGTGGGGTACCTTGCTACCACCTGCCTTTAGCATGAGGAAGCCTTTTCTGTGTCTAAGGGTTAGCTTCCCAACTCCATTGGCCTTGGGTAAGACAAGCGCTACCTTCAGGCACGCTCCAACCTTTGAGCACATTCTTGGCATGACCATGCCCCTGGTCGCTGAACACTTGCAGTATTTGCAGATTTGCAGCTCTCAGAGAAGCAGTACAGTCCAGCGTACCAGCTCTGTCTCCATTCACTGCTCTGCTGCACTCACCACACTGAGATATGACTGTAGTAAAATAAAGTAAAAGGTTTTTTTTAAATGTAAAGTTTAAATTAAATAAATGCTAGGAGATTCAAGAAGTAGCAAGACCCAGGTACTGGCTTTCACATGATTACAAGTAAAATAAGATTATAACTTGTGTTCTAAAGCCTAGACTTCCTTGTGTTATGAAGTTTAGCTCTCTGAAAATCTATAGCATTTTCCAACCATATTGACACTGATCCTCCTTTTATAAGGCAGCACACAATAATAGTGCATTTCTTCAGTAAAAGCTCCTGGCCTTATCTTAGTTATTTGCACCCCCTCCCCTCCCACCAAAAAAAAAAAATCTGTGTCTTTACTTGTAAACAGGATCCTCCTTGCTATGTTTTTCCCCCTGTAGCTTTTATTTCTCCTGACTTCACAATCTCTCAATGAGTCAGGCTCAGTAACGCAAATAGTCCTCCATTGTGAAGCAGACAATACACACATGACCAAAGATAGGAGTTTCTTCCCTCATAGCTGACAGGTGCACGTTTTCTCTAAGGTTATGATTCTGTCCTGGACGTATGGATTCTGTCATTTTCTGGGACCTCTGTTACTTCTTCTGGGGGAGGGTGGAGCCCTTGTGAGCCTGGAGGCTAGAGCAGCTGACCGGTGGCCAGCTGGAGCAGCGACTGGGATTGCCTCAGCTCTTCCCCCCTTCCCCTCTCCGGGGGCCTGGCATAGTAGTAGTTAAGCCTTGCTGCAGGAACAGTGGCAGGGACAGAGCAGTGTTTGCAGTTGCCTCTCCCCCCCACCTCTTCCCATATATTTTTAGTATAAGTCAAGGACAGTTTTCAGGCTTTTACTGAACATACCAGTGAGAGAATCTTATTTATCACCTGGTGAGCTACCTCAACTCACAGACCTTAATAACATAATTTTCAGTACAGATGCATAATTTCTTAAACATTATCCATCCACATGTTTTGCAATGATCATGACTAGTGGTTAGTATGACCTTGCATACCACCTTTTGGTAATCTTAGGCTGTATCTACATAGCAGTGTTATTTTGGAATTACTGACATTCCTAAATAACAAAGAGCATATCTACTCTACAAACCATTATTTTGAAATAATGTCGAGTTGGAGGACTTCTTTTAGTAAGAAGTCCTCCAACTCGACATGGTAACCCTCATGGTAACCCTCATGGTAACCCTCATTTCACAATGAGTAAGGGAAGTCGAAGGACGAGCGTTCTTCCTTTGACTTCCTGCTTTATAAACAGAGCCACAAGCCAAATTAAGCTATTTTGACTTCAGCTATGGCAATTGATTTAGCTGAAGTTGTGTAGCTTAATTCGACTGTAGCCCTCCTGTGAAGACGTACCCTTAATGTGCACATTCTTGAACCACAAATCCCTGTTAAGACTCTGTGTCCTGCTCTGCCCTCTAATAGTTGGCACAAAAGAGTTTTCTGGATCATACCTGTAGGGCCAGATTAAGGGGAGGGCTAGCTGGGCAGCTGCCTGGGGCGCCTGATGGCAGCTCTAAGGGGGGCAGCATGCCGGTGGGTGAGGCCGCCCATGTGCTGTGCACCTGGGGGCGGAGCTGCGCATGCGTAGCACGCCCACTCCCCAGGGCGCAGGAATGGCTCGCGCTGGCCCTGCATACCTGCTATTAAACTAAACAGTGAAATGAAGTCAGTTTGGGGGCAGATGGCTCTAACTCTCAAATCCTTCATTTGCTGGGTTACATGGAGAGAACTAGCATTATATTTGCCGTGTGAACCTGAATATTGTTATGTTTGCCTTTAATCAAGGGTATTCCCAGATCTTGTCAAAGCTACTTTACTTTAACAAGAGGCGCCTTAGGGGAAAAACTAGCCCCAGTTTTGTGGCCTGCTTGAGATATTTGTGTCACTAATTTACTAGCTCTTTGAGAAGGTGAATAGTTATTAGCGTAATCTCCATAGAGTGGCCTATGATGGCTGCTCGTTACAAATCCAGGTCTGCCCTCTGACACCAGTGCCCCTTTGCTGACGTAAACTGAATTTGATGGAAACTACACCCATTTTTCTCTGCTTTTAAGAAAGAAGTATTTCTATGAATAAATGAAAACTCTGAAATGTATTTAAGTTTTTAATTACAGTTGGCATTTCTTAGTCACAAGCTGGAGGATACTATCTTGCTAAAGAGCCCTAGCACTCGTGATAGTAGTGGTAAGAGAGCCCAGTGAGATGAAATGAAGTCAATTTCCAGCTTGCTTTAGTATTAAATATCTGAAGAAAAGTTAAGATAGAATATGAATGCTTTTTATGATGGGCTAGCCTTTATCCAAACAGACTAGATATGGGGAATGTGATTCCTATACCATGCAGTCATGGTGTGTGAATGCATCGTGTGGAAACATATGCAAGCTAGCTCGGGTACTGGAGCAATGAAGCTATGGAAGCATGGTATTGCTGAATTACTTGCATGTCTTGAGCGAGCCATCCAGGCAAGTAATTACCCAGGGTTCCAGGTGAACCTGCACTGCCATGGCTTCACTGCTCCAATCTCCAAGCTAGCTAGATTAAAGCTGGGTTGGGTTTGTGTACATGATCTGTAATAATACCCTGTAACTGCAATGTAGACATACCCAGATTTCAGGTTTTTTTTCTGTTTGGGAATGCCAATAGCCTACCCTTAGATAACACTGATTTTCAACAAGAAGGCTGCCTCCAGCATAAGTCTCTGAAAAGAATGCCAATAGCCTACCCTTAGAAGGCTGCCTCCAGCATAAGTCTCTGAAATGCTAATGAAATGTTAAAACTTTATATTTCCCTCTCATATTTGCTGCATATTGAACAATGCTCCTTTATATTATGAACCCTTCAAACTGGTGTTTTGGACAAAAGCAGATATGTTTTCTTTTTAAGCAAAGTGTTTGATTTCTGAGCATTTTAGACCAGGTATTGTGTCATTCCCGAGACTTGTTTTTCTTTTCAGGCTTAATTGGTGACTTAGCAAATGTTGAACTTGATTGTTCCAGATGTGCGTATCCCTGAATAAAATATTAAGATGTTTTTAGTTGTAAACATTTTTTCCAGGAATGGGAAGAAATGACCAGCATTGGTTTCTGCATAGAGAGGAGTCATTTTTTGTTTAAAATCAAAATATGAAATGAACTTACAAATTCTTTTTCTCCCTAAAGGTTACACAAGGGATGCATCATTCCTTGCAATGGTGGTTGATATTGTTCAGGAACTGAAGCAACAGAACTCTAACGTGGTATATGGTAAGGGGCTTGATGGCTTTTAACCTTTTTAGTCTCTATTTTTTTCTATGCACATATTGAAATCACTTCAGATGAAGACCGTGCTCTGACATTCTTCTGAGTTTCATAGCAATGCCCAGTTCTGATCTTCCTGAGACTCTCTTGGACTCTGTCTAATGTTGCTATAGTGATTTTTTTTTCCTTTTTTTCCTTTTGTGCCTACTGGTGCTTTTCTTGCACTGTGCCAGCCAAAGAAAGATGTGATTTAGGAAGTGATCCTCTCTATCCAGCAAATACTGCTGCTGTTTGTTTCTTAGCAATGAAGATCTGAGAAGTACTGATAATACTGGAAACTGATGTCTTCTCTTGATCCTCAGATACAGACTTTTCCACATTGCCCTGTATCACTTACATCCTATAGGGTAGCATCCTAACCTGTTTATCTCTGTAAGGACCATTTACTTCTGGACCTGTCTTTGAGATTACACAAGGGCTAGCAGAAGACAGTAATGTTCAGCTGCCCATAGCTGATTTGAGCTTGGCCAGCTATCTCAGATCAAAAGCCTGTGTTTCCCATTACCTGTCCCTGAAGTTATCCAGTTCCTAAAAATGGGCAAGGTGCTTTGAACAGACAAGGTCAAATCCAGTAGGCCCTAATCAGGCAGAACTCCCATTAAAGCTGGACAGCTTTAGTGGGAGCTTTCTATGAATAGGGATTGCAAATGGTCTTCAGGCTGTATAGAGTTGCATGGTCAGAACACTTCCCAAATAGTTCACAAGCAATTACCAGTTGAAACACATGAATCAAATACTAGATTTATTAAACTGTTCCTGTAGCTAACAGAACCCTTATTCTGGTGGACGTTTGGTTTGTGGAGCTGGTCTCATCTGAGTCAGCAGTGCTTAGATTTCAGTCATATTGTTTAGATGAAAAATACTCAGATTCATGCTGGAGTGTTATGTAGAATAATTCACAAATGAGCGCATCATTTAGTCTTGATAATAGGCTGTACAAATGTTTTTAAAACGGTACTATAAGTAGCAGACGCTTCCTGTGGAAATAAAGGCATCGATGGTATAGTTTTTTAACCAATTACATTAAGAACCTTCTATGACTACCATAAAATATGTAATATTTCTGCTGAAATAAGTAGACTACTGGACAGCTTTAGTGGGAGCTTTCTATGAATAGGGATTGCAAATGGTCTTCAGGCTGTATAGAGTTGCATGGTCAGAACACTTCCCAAATAGTTCACAAGCAATTACCAGTTAAAACACATGAATCAAATACTAGATTTATTAAACTGTTCCTGTAGCTAACAGAACCCTTATTCTGGTGGACATTTGGTTTGTGGAGCTGGTCTCATCTGAGTCAGCAGTGCTTAGATTTCAGTCATATTGTTTAGATGAAAAATACTCAGATTCATGCTGGAGTGTTATGTAGAATAATTCACAAATGAGCGCATCATTTAGTCTTGATAATAGGCTGTACAAATGTTTTTAAAACGGTACTATAAGTAGCAGACGCTTCCTGTGGAAATAAAGGCATCGATGGTATAGTTTTTTAACCAATTACATTAAGAACCTTCTATGACTACCATAAAATATGTAATATTTCTGCTGAAATAAGTAGACTATCTAGCTCTACCATGTTTAAACAGGTAGAAACAACAAGCCTCTCAGCATAAAAGCCTAATTTTGTTAGTGGATTTTGTATCTAGCTCTACCATGTTTAAACAGATAGAAACAACAAGCCTCTCAACATAAAAGCCTAATTTTGTTAGTGGATTTTGTGACCTGTTTTATATAGTCTAAAAGAGGGCCAGACTGTATTATGGCTCTTTCTTTTGAAAACCTCCAAAGGCCTCCTTGAGCAGTCTGTTCAGTTGTCCTCCTGTTCTTATAGTTTGGGAAGTTTTTCATGAGACTTAATCTAAATCTGCTACGCTGTAGTTTAAACCTACTCTCTTTTGTCCTGCCCTCTGCCAGAGAAAACTTTTCTTCGAGTGCTTGCTTGGGAATTCAGCTTAGGTGTGTGCTCACCACATGCTCTGGTGCTGGAAGTTTTTCCCTCAGCAGTATCCATAGGGGACCAGCTGTGATGCCCTCTGGAGTGATGCACATATGCCGCGATATACAGAGTATTGCCGGCTCCCTCCATCCTCAGTTCTGTCTTGCTGCTGAGAACTGTGCTGCTGCAGTTCATGCTTCTTGTTGGACTTGGTTTATTCTAGGTTTGTTTCATAGTTAAGTTTCCTTCTATTTGTCCGCCATAGAACTTAGAGACATGTTAGGTCCCGTGTTGGGACTTGGCCTCTAACGAGACATGCCCCGGTGCCTAGGCTTTAAGCCAAGTGATCGCTGCGGGAGAACCATGCCCATTAGCAATCCACACAATAGGTATTTACGGTGCTTGGGAGAAGGACACATCACAGATAAATATGAAATTTGCAAGTCCTTCAGGCCCAGGCTGCTAGGCCACACTTTTCTATCAAGTCTGGTCACCCGTTCCAAAGTGGGACCTCTATGTGATCCTTTCTGGGCTCACAGGGCTACCCTTTCAGACTTTGGTCTCATGTTCTTTGCCACCACTTCTTTTGTGGAACAGTAGCTTTCCTGGTGGCAGTAACTTTGAGATGGCAGATCTCAGAGTCGCATGCCTTACCCTCGGAACTGCTTTAAATGGCCATCCATATAAAGTACAGCTTTGCCCATATTTGGCCTTCCTGCCTAAGGTGGTCTCTACTTTCCACGTGTGCCAGGGTATCTTTCTGCTGTCCTTCAGCTTCATAAGACAAGCAGAGTGAGGCACTTGCATGTCCCAGATGTAAGAAGGGCCCTGGTGTTTTTATTTGGACTTGACGATGCCTTTCCACAAGTCATTCCAACTCTTCATCTCATCAGCTAAGAGAATGAAGAGCCTATTGGTGTCCACACAGAGAATTTTGAATTGGATAGCCTCTTCCATACAGACTTGTTATGAGCTGGCCGTCCTATCACCGCCAATTGTGAGGGCGCTCTTGATCTGGGTGCAGGCCTCTTGAGCAGCCTTCCTGGTTCATGTTCCAATCCAGGACATCTGTAAGGCAGTTACATGGTCATGACATGAGTACATATTCGTGAACCACTATGCTATCACTTACCAGGCCAGGGATGATTCTGAGTTTGGCAGACTTGTACTGCAATCTGTATGTTCATAAACGCCTACTGCCTTTGTGGGTACTGCTTGGACTCGAAGAAGAAATACAGGTATCTGTTTCTGTAAGTAGTGTGCTTTGAGATATGTTGCTTATATCCATTCAACATCAAGCCTTTCTTCCCCACTGCTGGAGTTTGCAGCAAGAAGGAACTGAGGGTGGGGGGAGCCAGTGGCACCCTATATACTGTGGCCCATGCACGCCACTCCAGAGGGCAGAGTCGGACCCCTATGGATACTGCTGAGGGAAAATTTTCCAGCACCCTTGCATGTAGTGAGTACACGTATTTAAGATGAATGGACATGAGCAGCGCATCTCTAACACAGCAATGAGGCTCCTAGGCTAGTGAGTGGGCTGCAGAGTGACTCTCCTGTACCTCAATGGGCCGCAAGATTGTTGTAACCAAGAGAGTCTCCCTGGAATAAGGTAGCTTTGCTAATTGCACTCGCAGACCTAGAATTTTGGGGTATGTCGATTGCACTCTGGCAGCACTTTGATTGGGTGCAGAGGGAGTGAATGGTTCTGACAGTCAATGCTATATGCAGTCAGCACCCACCTCTCTTCATGTGCCCTTGCTTTCTGTATGTGTCACTTTAGTAAAATGGTAGGGGAAAAACTACATGGACAGAAACCAGTAGAATCTGGAAACCCTAAGCCTGGGCAACAGTAAACAAGAACTGTGATGGGCCACAAGTTGATTATCATTGCTCTGACTCCTGTTTGTAACACACCTCTTACCCTTCATAGATGGCAAACTCCAGCTCCAATGTACTGCAAGAGTGCTTCAAATGAGACAAGTGTATAAAATACAAAGTTGTAACATGTTTGCTACTGTTGGGTATAAGTGTATATCATCACAGGGACTATGTGGTGGTCCTTTCTTTCTAAGGTTGGTTTTATTTTTCTGTTGCAGTTTGTGATCCAGTGATGGGTGACAAATGGGATGGAGAAGGCTCTATGGTTGGTAATCTTCTACTTGAACTATATTTAGATTTTAAAAACAACAAATAGTTCCACAGCATCTTAGAGACTAACAAAACATGTCAGTGGTATCATGAGCTTTCGTGGGTGCAACTCACTTCTTCAGATTAATTGAGTTAGAGGTCCAGGGTACAAAAAAATAGCAGAGAAAGAGAGGTGATGGAGAGCGAAGGAGAAGGAAGAAAAATTGGGAAAAATAATGTCAGTTAGAGTGTCTATGTTAAATGAGGCAATAGTGGGCTGTAAGTACCCGGTGCTTGGCTTTTTATGTCATTAGGATGTGGAATGTAACAGCCCACCCAGGTAAAGTCTTTATTCAGACCTTGATTGCAGGTGTCAAACTTGTGAATGAAACCAAATTCTTCAGCTTCTCTCTACAGCTGTTTTTTTAAATTGCTCTGCAATAGGATAGTCACTTTTAGATCCATTGGTGAGTGCCTGGGCAAGTTAAACTGTTCCCCAACAAATTTCTGGTGGTGCTGCTGTTAAGATGTTGAGAATGGGAACACAGGTGAAGGGAGAGGAGAATATCAGCACTTTTTAGGTGAAGACTTTAGTCTCTTAGACAGTTGCTCCTCCCCTCTCCCCATCCCCCCACAAAAAAAATGAGTAGTGGCATTTTAGACAGCTGTGTGGGGGTAGCAAGAATTATTTTGTTTTAATATGTTTGTTCCAGTTATGGTGCAGAAGTAGGAATGGCCATTTATTTAAAGAGATTGTGTATTATTCAAAAATTACAAACCCAAAACATTTGATTGATTAACTTCTCCCCTTCATATTTCACAGAATTTTTTTTTTTTTTTAAAGACTCATTCCACAATTTCTTTACATATGCATCATTCTTGGGGCCTGGTCCTGCTACTGGGTTCAAATGAGTGGACCCAGCACCCCACAGGGCTCTATTGACAAAAATAAAACAAAACAACAGAAGTTTGCTGGGTTTTGATGCTGACTCGCCTTCCAAGTGAAGGAATGGGAGACCCAGAAACGCCCCAGTCAGGTGTCAGTCTCTCCTGATGCTTCCAGCCTAGCGTCATCCTGCTGCCAGCTGGTGCAAATGGGGCTCTTGGAAGCACTGTCCCAAGTTAGTGGAAGGAAGTGAAACAGGGTTCTCTGTTAATCCCTGCTCTTGTGCTGGGTTCATTATCAAATCAGAACAGATTTCCTTGCACTGGTTATGCACACACACACATTCCACTTCAGATGAGTGTGCGGCCAGTGCTGTGGAGCAGGACATGTTTAGGGCTTGGTCTAGAGGAACAATTAGTATGTGGCAAGCTGAGGTCTCTGTGTCAAGTTTATTGGGTGCACCCGCTGCTATTCTGGAAGATGTATGTACACAGCACATCTCAAAGATAGTCACTGTACTATAAAAAGGGAAATAAGAACAACCCAGGAAACCACAGACCAGTCAGTTTAACTTCTGTGCCGGGGAAGAGAATGGAGCAAGTAATTAAGGAATTTATCTGCAAGCATCTGGAAAATAAGGTGATAGGTAACAGACAGCATGGATTTGTAAAGAACAAATCATCTCAAACCATTCCAATAGCTTTCTTTGATAGGATAACAAGTCTTATGGATAAGAGAAGTGGTGGACATGGTAAACCTTGACTTTACTAAAGCATTTGATAGGGTCTCATATGGGCCTTCTTATCAATAAACTAGGGAAATACAACCTAGATGAGGCTACTATAAGGTGGGTGCATAACTGGCTGGATAACCGTTCTCAGAGTCGTAGTTAATGGCTCAGTCATTCTGGGCGTAAAAAGTGGGGTTCTGCACGGGTCTGTTTTGGGACCAGTTCTATTCAATATTTTCATCAATGATTTAGATGATGGCATAGAGAGTATTCTTATAAAGTTTGCAGAGAGGTAGGAGAGGTTGCGAGTGCTGGGAAGGATAGAGTCATAATTCAAAATGATCTGGACAAACTGGAGAAATGGATCTAGGGGTCATAGTGGACCACAAGCTAAATGAGAATCAGCAATGTGACACTGTTGCAAAAAAAAAAAAGCAAACATGATTCTGGGATGCTTTAACAGGAATGTTGTGAGCAAGACACGAGAAGTCATTCTTCCGCTCTACTCTGCACTGATAGGCCTCAGTTGAAGAATTGTGTCCAGTTCTGGGCACCACATTTCAAGAAAGTTGTGAATAAATTGGTGAAGGTCCAGAGAAGAGCAACAAAAATGATTACAGGTCTGGAGAACATGACCTATGAGGGAAGACTGAAATAATTGGGTTTGTCCAGTTGAGAACAGAGAAGACTGAGAGGGGACATGATAGCAGTTTTCAAGTCTCTAAAAGGGTGTTACAAGGAGCAGAGAGAAAAATTGTTCTGCTTTGGGCAGAAGCAATGGGCTCAAATTGCAGCAAGGGAGGTTTAGGTTGGACATTAGGAAAAACTTCCTAACTGTCAAGGTGGTTAAATACTGGAATACATTGCCTAGGGAAGCTAGAATCACTGGAGATATTTAAGAGCAGGTTGGATAGACATCTGTCAGGGCTGGTCTAGACGGTGCTTGGTCCTGCCATGAGGGCAGGGGACTAGGGATGTAAGTGACGAGTCAACTCGACTGGTCGCTTTCCCCACCCCTTTCTGCCTCTATCAGAGAGAGGCAGCAGGGGGGAGAGGAGGAGGGAGGGAAGGGGAGCAGGAGCCAATGTTGGAGTAAGCCAGCATAAAAGCTGGTTCCCCCCAGCACTGTCTCGGGGAGGTGGGAGAGACAGGAGCGCAGTGGGGAACTGGCGGCACTTCCGTCTTTGAAATGTAGCAAAGGTCGGTCTCTTGCTACATTTCAAAAGCAAAGCACTGAGGAGCAAGGGCTGAGCAGGCGATTCAAGCAGTCCCCTGCTGGCCCCAGGCTTCCTGCTTTTGAAATGTACAAGAATCCTGGAGGAGGATCTCGTACATTTCAAAAGCAAGGCCTGCATGAGGAGCACAGGGCCAGTGGGGGATTTGAGCAGTCTCCCACTGGCCCAGTGCTCCCTGTGGCACTTCCGCATTTGAAATGTAGCAAAAGCTGGCAGGGCTCTTGCTATATTTCAAAGGTGGAGTTGCCCTTATTGACTAATTGACGATTAGTTGGCTAGTCAATTACATTGACTATTCGATTAGCTGATTAATCTAAATTTAACATCCTTACAGAGGACTGGACTTAATGATCTCTCAAGGTCCTGTCCAGTTCTAGTATTCTATGATTTCTATGACTGTACAAGATAAAAAGTAGCCGTTGTAACTAACTTTTTTTTTTAAAAATTGTTTTAAGTCAGGAACCTTTGCTATACCTGCCCAGCCCCCAGTAATGAAGCTATTCTTAAAACCTCCATCTGGGATGGCTAGCAATTCCTTATTTAACAGAGATGAGAAACTGAGACATGGAGAGGTTACATGATTCTTCCATGGTGGCATAACAAATCAGTTGCAAACCTGGGAAGAGACTATAACTCCGATTCATTTATTGCTTTAGCTTCTAAATGTTCCTCCAGGTTGAAAATGGAGTAGTTCTCTGGACTATAGAATGTATGTTAACGTATGGAAATCAAATTTAGATGAAGGAAATTTATCCCTGTGACTGCCAGAATAATGAACTCTCTCAGAAATTATAATTTTCCTTTTCTTTTTCAGTATGTGCCCAAGGATCTTCTTCCAGTCTACAGGGACAAAATTGTACCTGTGGCAGATATAATAACTCCTAATCAGTTTGAAGCTGAGTAAGTATTCGTTTCTCGTAATGCTTAGTAAATCTGGGGTTTAAAAGTAGAAATATTTGAACTCCCTTCTTTCCTCTATACTCAGTTAATTGGCTTTTGTGTGTTTATGAATCTTGTTACTGACTTTTTTTGTAAATGGTTCTCCAGTAAATCTCCAAGATTTACTGATTTGTTTCAACAAGCGATTTATTTGTACTTTACCTTTTAAAATAATAACTGCTCAAAAATATCCTGTTTTCTTAAACATCCAAATGATATAGTTACTTTTGATTGTGTCCAAAAGTCATATCTGGAGCTGGTTGGAAAATATTTCTCCTCCTCCCCTCCCCTTCCGCCCCCCTCCCCAGCACTTCCCCTATGCAAAAATCCAGGGTTGGGAGGGGGGGGTGTTCAAGTTTTGCTTTGTTTTAAATAGTTTGGATCAAAATTTAAGTCGTTTGCTTTGGAAATACCATTGCAGTGCCTCATGATCCTATTCTACTCTGTAGGTTGAGCTGCCCGGTCAGCTTAAATCTCCATGATGTATCATGGTATTGCCTCTTTTATTGAGGTAGTTCTATGGCTTCAGTTCATAATGGGAGATGTAAAAACCAATTGTGAAGTGGTGGTATTCATAAAACAGATAACTTATGGCAACATGACTTAAATTACCTATTAGTTTCACATACCAAGTGTTTTAAATTTTAATCATTTGACAATAAGATAAGAAATTTCTATCTGTTGTATGCAAAGACATTGAAAGACAGTCTGGAACTTTATGCTACTTACAGCTAATGGTTTGCTCAGGCCCTCTTGTAAACAAAATACCATATATGGAGAGACTTAATCCTGGAGGGCAAAACTGATAGTGATTGCCCGTAGTGTATGTGATTTTTAATCTTCTTCCTTGACTCCTAGGTTGCTCACTGGCAGAAAGATTCACACAGAAAAAGAAGCTTTAGAGGTAGGGGTGTGCGTGTGCGTGTGCCTGCCCGCCCGCCCAGCCAGACGTCTGTTGGCAATTCTGGAGTTCATAATTTGTGTCCTTAAAGCTTGTGTATCATAGAATACTCATAGAATCATAGAATACTAGGACTGGAAGGGACCTTGAGAGGTCATAGAGTCCAGTCCCCTGCCCTCATGGCAGGACCAAATACTGTCTAGACCATCCCTGATAGACATTTATCTAACCTACTCTTAAATATCTCCAGAGATGGGGATTCCACAACCTCCCTGGGCAATTTATTCCGGTGTTTGACCACCCTGACAGTTAGGAACTTTTTCCTAATGTCCAACCTAAACCTCCCTTGCTGCAGTTTAAGCTAATTGCTTCTTGTTCTATCCTCAGAGGCCAAGATGAACAAGTTTTCTCCCTCCTCCTTATGACACCCTTTTAGATATCTGAAAACTGCTATCATGTCCCCCCTCAATCTTCTCTTTTCTAAACTAAACAAACCTAATTCCTTCAGCCTTCCCTCATAGGTCATGTTCTCTAGACCTTTAATCATTCTCGTTGCTCTTCTCTGTACCCTCTCCAATTTTTCCACATCTTTCTTGAAATGAGGTGCCCAGAACTGGACACAGTACTCCAACTGAGGCCTAACCAGCGCAGAGTAGAGCAGAAGAATCATTTCTCGTGTCTTGCTCACAATACACCTCTTAATACATCCCAGAATCATGTTTGCTTTCTTTGCAACAGCATCACACTGCTGACTCATATTTAACTTGTGGTCCACTATAACCCCTAGATCTCTTTCTGCCGTACTCCTTCCCAGACCGTTGCTTCCCATTCTGTATGTGTGAAACTGATTGTTCCTTCCTAAGTGGAGCACTTTTCATTTGTCTTTATTACACTTCATTTTATTAAACTTTATTAAGCTTCCCATCAGTGCTTGTCTGTAACTTCTCTGCGAATTGGTAGTGACTCAGGCCACACTTCATGCACAGAAAACGTTCTGGTTAGATGATGGAGAATCTTTCAAGAAAGACTTACAAAAAGAGTGATGTTACATAGAGCATCAGGCACTTAATGCCAGTGAGCTGTAAGGATGGGGTGGGGGATTAAGGAACCCCCAGACATTATTAACGAACACTGTCAATCAGTGTGGTGTGTTAGTAGCTCCCCCTGCTGCCAGCATGAGACCACTGTCATAGCAGCATTGCAAGGCCTACCATGGCTAGCTTTCACTCTGCCACAGGGCTTGCTAGAGAAGACAAATGTACCAGCGAGCTCTGTGGTGCTGCAGGGAACAGCACTGAGGAAACTGTGTGCAAGAAGGGTTGGGCTCTGAGTCCTTTTCTGCTGTAGGCAGTTATGACTGAAGGTTCTTCACTTTTTAAAACTTACTTTTAGAGAGGATGGGCATCTTGCTATCCATAGAGCTGGGCAACAGGATGAGGCTTGGGGTGCAGTAGTGCAGAGGACCACCAACCAGTTATGGTCTTCCAGTATTTCCCAGTAACTGGCACAGAAGAGCCAGAACCTTTTCCTGTGACAGGTAGCATCATGATCGGTCAATGTGACAACCTGGAGGTTTCACAAACATCCTATTGTATAGTAAGGATTTGCCCTTGTATAGGGTTAAATCCTCTTGTTCTGCAAATTACACTTACAAGCCACTAGCTTAAAGTTTGTATGTACCCGTCCCACACAAGAATTGTGATAATACGCTACTTAGTAACTATTTTACAAATAAATTCTCTGCCAAACAGTGTGAGTGCTGGATTTTCACCATTATTTGCTGGTAACAACCTTTCAAAATCAATTAAGTCTCAGACAGGGAGGAAACAGCATGGTGATGAATGTATTTAACCCTTTTGAAAATTAGTTTCCTGTAGGATTCCCCTCTCCCCTGCCTAGAAAATGCTGATGAAGCAAAACACATTTTTCACTGAAATGTTTCTATTTTATGAAAATTTTAGGTAGGAAGATTTCTCAGGTTGGTGGGAGGGGAGAGAGAGAGAGACATTCCCCACCCCGCAATGCACTTTTGTGGTTAGGTTACACTGCTTCATATCTGGCAGGGACTTGAACTTGGGGGTCTCATGCCAAGTGAGTGCCCTAACCATGTGGCAGTTGGCTATTCTGGATGTGAGGATGGGGTATAGGGAGGAGAAGGAAATGTCCTTCATGATTTGTTTTTCCCCCAAGGCTTGAAGGCTGAATGAAAACAGTTTTTGAAACCTTGAAACTTTTTTCTCAAATGGAATTAATGTTCTCTAGGTAGCTCTAATAGCAAGGGCAATTGCAGGACTGTATAATCCTGTCACAATTATACATGGTGTGGTGTCACTGTAGGGGTGAATAAATTATGCCCAAGTCTTAGACCTGCCTCGGAATAATTGTACTTGAGCCTGATATTCACTATGGATGGGCATAGCTTAGCTCTCTTCTGCACTGGAACATCAACCTGAATTTTTAACTCTGCTGAGTCTGCATTGTTGAAATATCCTTTGCTGTCAAGGTCTGACCTGAAGCCAGGTGTTCACATCTCAAAAACAGAAACGTCTTCCTTCTATTACCTGTGCAACCAGCAACCATGTGCTACGCCTTGTTACGCAGCTATGGAATCAACCATGTTGTGCAAGACAACTGATGCTATATGGAAAATAATGAAGAGGGTTCTATTAGAAACTGCTCTGCCAGAGATACCATCCTCTTGCTTTCTCATTTTAAAAGACCATTTATAAGAAACCTGTTCTCGGAACTACTATTCCATGATCTCTGAATTCTTGCGCACCGTGAGAGATAACAGTATATATGCTGCTCTGGTAACAACAGACATACCATTGGTTAGTTCCTGCACAGGGCATCTATTTATAGGTTACAGCCAAGTCTCTGTTTTAGAGGCTTTTCAAGTGTTTCATTTTTAATATTTAAGTTTTCATTGAGAGAGTACGAGCTGAAACATTTAATATGGAATGAAAATGGTCTTGCCATTACCTCATAAACGCATTGCGCAGCCAGTAGTTGGTGAGGTTACTGTTGGTTTTTTAACCAACTTCGTGTGTGTGAGGAAGTTTGACGATTGAAAATGTCTTTGAAGCTCAGACAAAAAAGGATGTCAATACCGAATAAAAATTGGAGAAATAAGCTCTTATTATTCAGCTGCTCATGAGTCATCGCTAGGCTGAGAGGATTTCTTCTGGGAGAATTTATTTTTTATCTGCCTTTTATGCTAAATCCAGAACTGAAGTCATTCATTCTTTGTGTAATCAAAATCCCTTCCACAGCAGCCAACTGTGAAATCACAGCTAGGGATTTTAGCTTCTGGTGTGAAACACATAGGGGTGTGGTTTATGGAATAAACCTGAAATGTTAGACACGTGCAGGTAATCTGCAGATACACACATGCGTTTGTAACATACAGTGTCTAGGTTCCAAAATGAGAAGGAGATTGAGAAAAGATTTACAGGACAAGGTCAGATAATTTTCCGTTATTTGAGTTTCATTACATTGTTTATTATGATTATTTTCCCCTGTCTCTCTTATAAAGCTGGCTATAGAAGCCATTCTGTCATTGTAGTTCAGTGCAATAGCTCAATTGCTAGAGAAGTTACTAGAATCCTATTAACTATTACAAGACACTAGCTCACACACATAAATGTGCATTCACTTCCTCTCTGGCTAATAAGATTTTGAATCATGCCACTTTTTGTGAGCCCTCCCCATATACCTCATTATTACAAGTTTCTTATTACATAAGGTTTCACTCCTCTCTTTGGAGGTCTTATAGTTGAACTCACAGTATTGGCTGTATGGGAAGAGAATCTGAAAATAATACAAATAGAGTAATGATGTATTTTAATAAGTATATAACTTAATATTTTAGATTTCTTTAAAATCTAATCTTACTATTTTACATTAATTGTTTGAGGGAAAATTTAATTTTTATGAGGGTTGCAATGAAGTTTTTAAGTGTTCAACAGAACTGTTTCAGCATTATTAATGGAGCTACCATTTAGCAGTAACACATAACGGGTATTTTGTCTTTTTGTGCATGGGAAGGTAATGGATATGCTTCATGCAATGGGACCAGACACAGTGGTGATCACAAGCTCAGACCTACAGTCTTCTCTAGGAAATGACTACCTAATTGCACTAGGGAGCCAAAAGAAAAGTAAGTCGTGGTCTTGTTTTATTGAACAGCTGTCTCCATTTGTTTCTGTTGCTTTAAAAATAAATCATTCTATCAAAACAGCCTGGAGTACATGGGAACAGCTCAATCATATAGATTCTGATGCCTGCAGTGGTGAGGGGTGGGAAGATGGAAACTTAAGATGCTTGTCAGTGAAGAAGAAAAATCACACTGTCCTCTTGACAAAATGGATTGTAAACAACCAGCACAGGAATAATTTGTCTTTCTTTCCTAAACCATTTTTTCCTCACCATATCTCCCAAGCCTTCTGATAGCACTAAGCACTGTCTGTGTTCAGCAAATTGGCACTGACTGGTCTCATGTTAAAGAAGTGCTTTTGCGCAAGATGGTGAATAATCCCATTTTCTGCTGTCCCTATGGGATGTAAATGTAGAGATTGCAAGCCGGGCTGCCAAAAGAAACAAGTTGGAATGCAGACCTGATCCAGAGCTAGTGTTTTGCTGCCACCTAAAAATTCTAGTTCACGAAATGTACCATAAGCTGGTTTTTTCATTAATGTTGTGGTAATCATAGGTTAGGTACAGGGGCGCATGTTCTCTGTTGTGGCCTGTGGCTGGCCTTATTTTTAAAACTGAGGTGAAACCTAGAGATACTGAGTGTTCCAGCACATGATGCTTCATCTTGGTTTGAGAAGCTTCCAGATTCACCATACTTGCTGGCCAGCTGCCAGTAGGTCAGGATGGAGAAATACATGCTCGGACCTGTGCGTGCAATGGCTTGTACTCTGATATGAAAGATGATAGTGTTAGCTACCTGTTCCAAATTTGTGTAGCAGTCACGCTGTGAGTATGGCTCCCTAATCAGCAAAGTTTGAAGAAAAACGTAATTTGATAGAGCTGGTGTATTGTATCAGATTTTTCAAGATCCTCTTAAAAACCTGCTAACTTAGTGTCAAGCACTACAGTAACAATTGCCTTTTAAATATAATAAGCATTGTAATTGCATGGAGAGGTTCTGTTGTTTAACTGTATGTCTGTCTTCCAGCTAGAGCAGATGGCACCAAAGAGATACAGAGAATTCGAATGGAGTCTCCTAAAGTGGATGCTGATTTTGTTGGAACTGGAGACTTGTTTGCTGCAATGCTCTTGGCCTGGACACACAAACATCCAAATAACCTTAAGGTATGAGGGAGGGTGTTTTGTTGTTATTTTTGGGATTTTTTTGGACAGCAAAGTGCTTTAATAAATGACTTATTTCATTTTATTATTATTAGTGCCCAAAATATAGATATAGACTGCCGGATAGAGAATATTTAGAATATAGAATAACACTTCTTGCAAAAGCGTGTGCTGTTCCCCATACCAAACTTCATTGCTAGGCCACTTGACATTTTTAAGCATGTAAAATGTTATCTATAAAGTTCCCTCTCTCCCATGTCCCCCAGCCGCTTAAAAACACTCATTATTCAGTAATGTTGCTTGGGTGATTGCATTTCAAGTGATGACTGATGAGGTGTCTTTCTCTGTACAGTTTGTAAAAGTATTTGGGGAGTCTACCAAATCAAAGATGCTCTATAAATTATAAATACTTGGTTTTATCCTTGGTTCATAACTGATTTTTACATATGAGCTCTTACTATGAGAATGTGGGTCTTGCATGATGACTCTTTCTTAGTTATTCATTTTGGAAACTGTGTCCCTAATTTGGATCCTTTTGCTCTTAGTTATGGGTTCTACAGCCTTTTTACACACTGTGTTAAATCCAGCTGCCAACTTGTATGTGTCTTATAGAACTGAGGAAAATCATTGACTCTAGTTCCCTTCAGATCAATCAAATTGGCCTCTGAACATTGTAGTCCAAAGCACTGCTACTAACTTGAGTGATTGGAATGTTGGTAAGCCTAAATATATATGTATATTTAATTGCAGGTGGCATGTGAGAAGACTGTATCAGCCATGCAGCATGTCCTGCAAAGGACCATCAAGTGTGCAAAGGGTAATCATTTTACATCCTCTTCCTGAATTTACTCTGCTCACATCCTCATTGGAACAAACATTCTGGAAAGTTGTTTTTAGCACAAAAGGTGGCCTATTATTAGACTACATCCACAAAACAGAGTTTAGGGAGTTCTAGTACTGGTATTTTTTTACAGCAGTGTACTCTAACTCTAGTCTAGATGACAGCAGTAAAAATGTGTTGGCCACAGTTGACAGTAGTATTGCACCTGTGGTGGGATTGCATTGCTATTAGAACAAGACTGGGAAAATTCCAGGAGAATGTGGAGCATTATGCACAAGGGAGCCTCACCTTTTTCTATTTTGGGGTGTAACAGTTGCCTCCGTGACCCTTTTTTGTGTATATTGGGACCGGGATGGATTCCTCGCCTATTAATGAGTGGTGAATTCCTATGCCTTAGGCTAATCTGAAGACATTTTTCTTCAAACTATCTTCTCTTCTACAGGAAAATTTTAAAAACACCAGCTGGAAACACATAAGTAACCTTATTCTACTGTATACTCACACAACTTGGTCCTTGTCACCTAGAATACAGGTTGCTGGGCTCTCTCAAGTCCCAATAAGATCCAAAGAAAAATTGAGTTCCCACAGAACTTTTTGGGATTAGTCTATAAATAATAGTGGTACTGCAAAAGAACTTGGGCTGGGGGAACAACATTGTTTTATACCCCCTGGTGGAGGGAACGGGAAGTGGTAGTACAGTGAACGAAAAGGGAAAACAGTAATGATGGGGACAGGACAGAAAAATTATTCATTCTTGTGTGTGTGTGTGTGTGTGTGTGTTTGGTTATTATTGACACTTGAATATCTTCTTTTAGAACAGGCTGGAAAAGGAAACAAACCTAACCCAGCCCAGCTGGAATTGAGAATGGTCCAAAGCAAAAAGGACATAGAAAACCCGGAGATAATAATAAAAGCTACTGTGTTGTTATAAAGGCTGTATGTCTCCCAGTAACGCACAATGTATTGATGTCCTCTTTTTTCTTTCCCGTAAATTGTAATGTTTGCCTTAGATCTGTGACAAAAACCTGACTTCCATGAAATAATGCCTTGCATAGGCAGATATCCACTATCAAACATATGTGCTGCCCTTGCTTGGTTTAAGGGGGAGGAAAAAAGTGAGTTGTATAACTTACTCACAGGAATCAAAATGGCTGTGAAATTCACTTAGTCTGTGTTTCATGGCAAGAGAATACAGGGCTTCCTGCCTTGCCAAAGACTTTGGGTGTGAATTTGCAAGTGGAATAGCTGGCTGACTGGCAAATGTATTGTAGCAAAGCATCTAGTACCAATTTCATTAGCTACCTACTCCCTTAACTAAAGGCATTTGGTAGGTAATTGTGATATTTACTATCTCAGCTGCTAGTAGGGCTGAAATTGCACACAGCTTTGGGCTGTGTGTAGGGAGCAGATCAGAGATATTTAGCATTAGGTGCTCTGCAAAGGTCTAGAGGTATCATTTCATGTTGCTAATAACTTATCCTATTTCCGGCCTATGAATGAATATGTGATTCCAATTTCTATAGGTGCTAATCCCTTAATTTCTAGTGACCACAAGTATCTACATCACTTTGTCTGCATGCTCCACTTCAGAAAAGAACTATTGTATTAGTTTAATTAGCCAGTAAGTAGCACCAGGTAGAAATATGTAATTCTACCTCTGATACTAGATTTAATTCTTTTTAAATTAAGACTTCAAGAAAAAGCTTCTTTAAGAAAGGAAGGTGCTGTGGCTACTTCTAGTAAAAGCCAAGTAAACCTATTGGTATTGTAATGGACAGCAAGCCACTGGAGTACTGAGAACTAGCATTCTTTGTTGAGGGCATTGTATACTTTATTAATGGTTCGATCTAGAAATCTCAGAGGGCTCACCTGCTTAATTAAAATGAGCACCATATAAGAGGTTCATCAGTAAAGTACAATAGTGAACAGTTGCCTACATTTGCCTGAAGGCGTAAGTAGAACTATTAATTTGTTCATAATGCCACTTTTAGACAGTTTTATTATCTGAATTTTAAGGAATTATTTTATGCTTGCGAAAACAGCAGTTTTTTTAATGTTAGAATATGTCTAAGGATCTATACTACTACTTATCATCCATAGAACCTCAGCACTTCAGTGTAAAGTTCCTCTTCTAGTTTCTCTCTCCTTCCATGGAGGCAGCAGGGGAATTTTTATGGCTTAAAATTTTGTATCAGAATCCAGTTCCCTGACATGCTTTCTGAAGAAGTTTCTTGACAATTTTTGTACCATGTATGCTGGTAACATTCCTGGGAGACGTTGATTACCAGTAACTCCTCTTGACTTCAACAGGCACTGCAAGTTCTCTGCACCTCTGAGAATGAGCCTTAGTATGGTGTATGTGCCCAAACCTGAAGACACACTGTGAACTTGATTTCTTCATAGTGGCATACACAGATACAAATTTCACCCTCTTGCAATGGGGTGGAGGGGAGAGGGGGTTGTACATCCAGGGGCATGCTAAAAGAAGGGCAGTTTTGTTTCATACACTGTCTGAGGCTGCCCAGGAAAAGCACTTGATCTGTGTATTTCCTGGATGCCTTCCCAGAAACTTCTTCCTGGCCAGTTACTAAGCTATGTCCATTGACTAAGTGTAGGTCCCTCAGCCATGATTGGGTTGTAGGTAGAGTGTGCCACTGCAATCTTTGTGCATCCAACCTCCCAGTGGACTTTCTGCCATCAGAGTCCCCGTTTTGTTTCCACTAGCATACCCAGGTATCACTAATTTTAGGCCAAACTTTTTTTTTCCTTTTTTTAATAGAGTGGAATTTTTCCAGTTAGTAGTAGTCTTAAATCCCTCTTTTTCAGCATCTCGGAAGCAAATAACACATAAGATGCTAATGTGTTTTGCAGTACATTTAAGGGAAGAACTCAACTTTTGCGCTAACTGGCTAATACTTTATCATCTCCAGCGTACTCAGCAATTAAGTTTGCTCTGCTGACATAAGAAACACACACAAATCTGAAAATTACTTGGTAAACTTGACTGGAGTGCCACAATTTACAGTAACCTCAACCATGAAATAACTTTCTAGCAATAATAATTCAGTTAATATGAATAAAGCACAGCAGTTTCCTTCAGTGCATGAGTTTATGGCTGATGTCCAACATTCATAGTCATAACAAAGCACAATTTAGTCAGGCTTCTTCCTCAGCACTGTATCTTTAAAATATTTTAAAGCTGTTTTCCTTCTAGATACCTTAATCACTAATTTCCATATGTTTAAAACTGATCTTTATTAATTAACTGCCTTCTTGAGCATATGTTGTTTGCTATGGAAGCTGCATGGGAAACAGACATCTTTCAAATTGGAGGTAGTAGCTTTTAAATCAAAATATTCAATAATAAAACTCCAAGGGCTTTCTACTTATTTTTCAACATAAATACAGTTTTATCACTACCAGCTGCTAGTTACTTAGTGGCCATGTAGCACACTCTGTGGATAATAAGCATAAACCTTTTTTATTTCGCTTTTTTAAAACCCATAACATTTCATGTTGATATTTGCAGTGGTTCCCATAGATTTGGGAAGCCTGATCAACAGATTGTTGCTCCATCTTTTCACACGATGATTCTTTAATATGGGGAAGCTATTTTAAACTTATAGGAATAATCCCTCTAGGATCTTAAATTTTCCATAGGCTAGTGAAAGATTCCTGTTCTTCGCATCGGGATCAAAGAGAGAGGTTCATAATCCTCTCCTCCTTTTGGAAAGCAGTAATAACAATACATGATCCAAGCTTTTTGCCATCAAGAGAACATAGTTATGGTAAGATTGCAATCAATTTTAGGATTGTAGGAACAAATACGTTTATTTGGAAATGGAATAACAGATGCCATCAATGAGATTAATAGATTAAATGACAATAAATCAATTCAGAATTTTTATCTGTGGAACAGAGGCCAGCTATTATGTGGGGCAGATGATTTGGCATGGCTGCTTGAACTTGTGGTCCAAATCACATATTTGGACCGCAGGAGTGGCCTGTGCCTGATGCTTCAGAGAAAAGCAGACACACCCTCCCCCTCCAGGATCGCTCCTTCAGTTTGATATTCATGACAAATGGACACAGTAGAGGGAATGCTTAACCTTAAAGACTTGAATGCAGAAGTGTACTTGGAGAAGTTAGGTTATGAACTGGCTGCAATTTGCAGCCGCTGCATTATGTCATCTGTTGAAGTCAGTGGGAGATGCTCATATGATATGTGCAGGAACTTCTACTGAAGTCCATCATATTCTTTCTGTGACTTTAATTAGATCAGGTCTTACATCAGCTACAGAATCAGGCTCACTGTCTAACAATAATAATTGAAGGCCTATTGAGAAACTGACTGTAAATACATATTGTAGTTACCTTTGTGTAGTCACAGCATGTGGACAAAGGTATTTTTAAATGTTAAATCAATTCGTATAACTTACAGGCATTTTTACCAGTTAATGTTATGCAGCACTTTTTCCTAGTGTTTTTAGAACAAACTGTGACATGTGGGGCACACGATCTCAGTCCAATCAGATGCTAACATTCTTTTATTTCCCTTCTCTTCTCTTGGAGTAACATCCATGAAGATTCCACTGATACAGAAAAGACACACACTTCCAGAGCAACAAGCACACAGCTCACTATTCACTCTGGCCTTTTTCACAGTTGCCAATTATCCATTTAAAGGAAATGAGGCTAGTACAGGGGTCATCTTATCCACTTGCAGATCTTCATACAAAGAAAAGCTGTCCGTCTAAAATGAATGTCTCTAATGACTGCAGAGGTACAAGCAACTTGGCAGCAAGCTGTAGATTCAATAATTCTGGTCAGTGATTTTTCATCTGTTGTCAAAATGGAAGGCTGATGTTACTTGAGCTAGCTAATTTGTGTTTGAACCCATTTTCTATACTGTGCTTCTTTGTGTGCAGCCTTTTTGGTTATTATAGTTTCACTTACTTGTGAAGCCTTATGCAGATGGACCAAAACTCACTTAAACTAATGATCTGGCCTATTGTGGGCCAGAACCCAGCCTTTTTGTGCATAAAACTTTCACTGACTTCCTTGGAAGATAAATGTATAACAACATTTTAAAGTTTTAAAAAAGTGTCACATGGAAGTTTTATTCCTACTTTGGTATAAATACACTTAAAATCTGCATTAAAATTAGTAACTTAGATGTTCATTTGCTGATTTATATTTAAAATGCAAGAAAATGATAACATACTATACAATAGAATTGGAGGACTGAGGTTTCTAGCGAAACATACTGCCTTGTTAAGAGTATCCTATATGTATCTTGATTGGTTGATGTTAATTTGTTGTCTGATATGGTTACGGTGATTGTGTTCGTCTATTTTAATTTGCAATATGTGTCAAAGATTGTAATAAAAATGTCTACATTAATATACTGTGCATAAATATTAACTGCTATTTTTGAATGTTAACCATTTCAGAATTAAAACAAGAAGAACAGTTTGGTAGTGTTACTGAGTAAGTGGATTTAATTAAGGTTGTATTAGTATCTGATATGAAGACTGGGGGAACAAGAGGGAAGCCCACATTTGAATACCTAAATCATGCCAATATAAAACCACTGAACTGGGGCACAGTACAGTACTAGACTTGTCTTTAAGCATTTATTTGAATGACTTTCATAGCGGCAGAAACTTGCTGCAAGGTCAAGGGTTGAAGCTCACTAATGGAGAGGAGGTGGAGTTAGTGATGAATTCTGTAGCATGTTTTAGCTCCATGACTGCTTTTGAGAGACCTACATTTGCCATTTGAAAAATGACTCTGACATTCTGCATCTCTGTTCCCATATGCATTTTACAGAAAGCTCAGAGTGAGAGAATGTTTCCCTCACTGGGGATTAGGGCCTCCAGAGACAGAGCCACAGTCCATTCTTTAGTTCTGTTTCCTTATCAGCGAAATCAAAGGGATTGCCATGCCAGATCACATCCCTTTTGCATCTAGCATGGCATCATTTAAACATTAGGGCAGTTCTGTGAGTGGAAGAAGGCAGAGAGCCAGTTGAGTGAGAAACATGGAAGATCCTCTATTCAAGAAGTCTCTTCTGCAAAATGCCAGACAGAGAGCCTGATTTTGTAACTTAGCCAAATGTCACTTAGCCCCCACACCATTAAATGAAACAATGGCTCATCTATATCCCTTTAAAAAGTTGAATTGTATGCTGGTATAAAACTGGCACATAGTCCAGCTACTTTAAAACCAAAACACTTCTTGAAGCTTAAACACTAAATAAATAATTTATCTTAAATTGTACTTTTCAGTAATGCTTCATTGTTAGAGTACCTTTCAACACCTATTTAAGTCAATGGCATTGATTATTAATTGAACATTTAGAGTAGAATATTTTCAGAAGAAAAACGGCTTTTGAAAATACATTTGTTTTTCTCTTGCTGTTTACTATTGATAAATGAGATCCTTGATTGAAGGACGGTTTATTCTGAAAAATTATAGCTAATAAGCTGTGAAACTGGAAATCTCTTCTAAATATATGGGCAAATTAGTGAGTTTATGCACATTTATATTAGAAGGTAAAAAGGATGGCCCTGATGCTTATCAAAAACATGAACTTGTGCTTATTTTACCAAAGAACACTCTTGAACACAGATCTCATAGGGAATCTGTAGTTTTTAATATGTTTTCTTTAGAATGAGATCCAAAGTTAGTTGCTCAGAATTTAAATTGAGTTGAAAGGAAACTATCCAGGAGAAAAGAACATATAAACAGTATAGCACCCCCATGAATTCCATATAGTTAATCAAGAAACCAATCCCATGCCTCAACAGTGATTCCAAAAAAAGTTTCTATGGTTTAACACTTGTTCCAGTTACCAAGCTCACTCTGGACCTGATTCAGGGAAGCACTTGCATGCTTAGCTGTAATGAATCTTTAAGTAAATGTGACATAAGCATATGTATAAAACTAAGCATGTGTCTGAAGTACTTTCCTGAATAAGGATGCGTATTCCTCAATTGTTGCCTCTAGGAGCAGCCACAGGTATAGAGGCAAAAAAAAACCTGAATTTGTAGAGAAGTAGGCAGCGCACTAAAGAAAATACCAACAATATTTGAAGGATGTGCCATATATTATCACTGAAATTACCTGTCTAAATTGTGTATTGCATTTGTTGTTGCATTGCTATTTATAAAAATGTGTGTCTAGATGAACGTAGTGTTATGTACTGTGTATATGTGTTAAGTTTTAGTTGCAGTGGGGAGAAAATGTAGAACTTGGGGGCTGGCTGTGCAGGCCTTCAGAACGGGAACAGAAAGTCTTACGAATTATATTTTTATAGACAGCACTGTGGCTTCAGGTCCCAGCCACACCATATCTGCCTCTTCCGGGAGCATAATGTTGTGAGGGAGGAGAGCAGAAGTTGGCTCTGACATGGTAGGGATAGTACAACCCCACCAGCCCTGGACAGCTTACAAATAAATAAAATATGCCTTTTTAAGTAATATTTTTTTAGTTCTAAATTGTTAAACAGAGAAATATTTACAAGTAAACTTTCTAGGTACTTGATATTTGTGGAGTGTTTCATATTGAATAGATGACCCTGTTTCTGTATATGTTTACATCTCTTAAAGATTGTCTTTGAAGCATATAAAATAAATAAGTAAATGAATTTTATGCCAGACAGAGTGCTATGTAATGATAATGGTTTTAATTTTTGGTGAAAATGTCAGCTTGTATGGTGTTTGTGTATATTCTGGTTGGCTCTCATGCATTTTGTTCTTTCTACTGGAAAGGCTTATATTCTAAATTGTGAAGAGTTGCAGTAGTACAGTAGACAAAAGGACTAAATAATGCTGCCTCACCCACTGTAATTTGAGCATTAATTTTTTTCAACTCCAATAGGCCCAAATTTCAGTTTTGAGTTATAGTAAAGCTAGAGATAAGTTAGAAACTAAAGGATTTTGATTTTAGCAGGATTCTGGGGTTTTGATGAGATGAGTCAAAAGAATCAAAGTGAATGTGATTAAACTAAAACAGAACGTGACGCTGACTGGCTTTGTTTAGCTGCCCATGCTGAGAGGAATGCAAAAATAGACGAACAGTATGGATGGAGATAAGTGAAGGGTTTTTTGGTCTCAAGTGTTTTTTAATATGTGGCCTGACTTTCAGAAGAGCTGAGTTGCTAAAATATACCATTCAGTTAGAATTGTGGCGTTCCCAGCACCTTTGAAGATCAGAACAATTATTTCTTACCTTGATGTACCTTATTGTCTATGTCTAGACTGGCATGATTTTCTGCAAATGCTTTTAACGGAAATGAGCATCTAGATTGGCACGGACGCTTTTCCGCAAAAGCACTTTTTGGGGAAAAGCGTCCGTGCCAATCTAGATGCTCATTTCCGTTAAAAGCATTTGCAGAAAATCATGCCAGTCTAGACATAGACAATAAGGTACATCAAGGTAAGAAATAATTGTTCTGATCTTCAAAGGTGCTGGGAACGCCACAATTCTAACTGAATGGTATATTTTAGCAACTCAGCTCTTCTGAAAGTCAGGCCACATATTAAAAAACACTTGAGACCAAAAAACCCTTCACTTATCTCCATCCATACTGTTCGTTTAGTGCTGGGCAAATAAGACAAAAGCAAACCACTAAGTATTAAGAATCTGGTTTGGAGTTTTTTTACGCTTATTTTATAGGGTCTCCAAGCAGGTGTGAGTGGCTGCCTGCATAGATAAGCAGATCTAGGATCCAATATTGGATGCAGTATCCACATCCCAGCCATATATACACACAGATTTCAGAGATTATCTGATGATATACACACTTTTTTTTAACCTTTTATTTTTCTAAAGAAACAGTTTGGTCTCCTAAC